TCATTTACTGGCTATCTTTATATTATGATTTTATCATGAATTCTGGTTCCTCTTCACCTGGAAATAAAGTACAACAAATTCTAGACTTTGGTATTCCGATAAATTCCGTTTATTCTCACACCGTTAAATATTTCAGATACAGCCATTACGAACACACACATTTTTAATGATCGGCGGTTTTACGACTTGGAAAGGACATTCCAAATTGAAAACCTCTCACTTATTGAGACTTCTTCGGCTCATGCCGCCCTCTTACGGCAAAAGAACACCTCTACAAACTGTACCTCATTTTTCTGTTGCATTCTGTTAAAGCACTTCGTACCTGAAAACTTTTCAAATGAAAGCTATAGCTCTTACCGATAACTCTTAAATCATACCATATATGCCCATTATTGTATAGTCTGGCAAATGGTTACCAACTTTTAGCAGAAACATACTATCCTGAAGATGGAAAAAGTATATTGCTCCAAAAGGTCGATAACCATCGATTGAAATAGAGTCATATCCCAAAAGACCGCACACCTAATACCTCTGTGAGAACTTCTCCTAACATGTTCTTTATTGATGTATATTTATTGTACTCCATTATTTTCATTAATTAATTAAGTGGCTAATTGATAGTGACGTTCTGTAACAGGGCCATCCCAGATCCGCCTTGTATAGAGGTAACGTGGCGGTATTCTTAAGAGCAGGAATAATCAACCTTCTGCTTAAGGGTTGGGGGTTTGTCGTAAAAACGTAAAAACTTCCTGTCCTGCCTTTTCCCTGTTTTTTGTTCCATGTCCTTTGTATTCATTCCTGATATGTTCACGTCCTTGTTTCTTGGTTTTTGTATTGCTAGGTCTCAACCTGCCGTCAGAGCATCTTGACAATAATTCATTTCACTTTTACTGTAATGGAGTGGTTTTTGTTGCTGTATAACGGCTTGGTAAGGCGGTTACGCGTTGCTTCATCTCCAAATGAAGGTACTTGGACCATGAAAGTAGTTTCGTTCATTTAAACTTAGCTCTTATTTACTTTAAAATGTTTTTCGAAATAGCGACAAACGTTTAAAGGGAGCAATATGTAGTTATTTAACTTAAATGCTTCAAAAAACATCTTAGTAACAACCTCATTTACGGAAATAGCTGCTGAATATTTGTTTCTAAGACATGAAAAAATCATATAAATTTCAGTCGTAAAACCTGAAGGAAAGAAATGACTTGGGAGACGTAGGCGAAATAGAAAAGAGGATAATACTAAAATGTATCTTAAACATGTAAGGTTTTGGGATGAGACTGGAATCGTTTGCGTCAAGATAGGGTCCAGCAGGAGAGTTGCTGCTGACACTTTAATGAGCCTTCAAAATCATGAAACCTGAGACATTTCTTAGTAGATGAATGACTATTAGCTTCTCCTGAATATGTCTGCTCCCTGAGTTAGTTAAATCTAAGATTATAAATTTGTTGCAGCAGACTGCTTAAATTTTCGAGTTGCTGTGATTTTCTGAATAATTCTGATTCTGAGTTGTAGGCATAGTTCCCTAGAAAAATAATAAATGTACGAGAAAAGATGGCATTCCTCTCAACTAATTGGATTCGTTGCCGTCCGGTAAACAGAAAAAAAAACTCTGTGTATATTTCACTATTTGTCTTTATGTAAATGAATATTAAAAGAATTCTCGATTATTAACCAAAGGGCGAAAGGACGTGTGAGGGCCTAGGAAAAGACGAAAAGATAGTTGTGGGATAGACCTTGAAGCTGATGATGATGATGATGATTAAATTTCATGATTGAGCGTTTTCAAGGACAAAGAAATGCTGAGCTCAACTCCCGACCACGCTAATTTCAGGATTTGAGGTTCTCACAGCGGTGATTGTGAAGAGTTCTATCTTCTGGGATCTAATATAGTGTAGTTCGCTGAAAGTCAACTGACATTTCGGAGGAACATGTCGCCTCCATCTTAAAGGTTGAAAAATAAGCCAAGCAGGAACCCACCGTGAAAGCAGTTGGTGATTTCTCTCTCAAGACTCTGGAAGTCCTGCAGTATAGCTATATGTATGTATATATGTATATCGTGACGTGCTGCCTGATAGCCGGACTATAAGACATCCATCGCTGGGCAACGGCAATGAGAACGCATGCTACCTAGGAAACTGCCTACCCAACAGAAGCAGAACTGTTGAATTCCCGCGGCAACGGATAGACCAGTCAACAGCGAAACTGAACCTTAAGACACGGTGGTGTCTATCACGTCCGAGCGTATGATATAAGCGAAGAACAAATCAGAGGACCAAGTCAGTTAGTATCCGACGAGAGCAAAGAAGGGCGAAGAGCCAAGACGCTCCACCGAGATCGGCGGTGCACGTGTGACAGTTGAAGAGGAAACGTCTGGAGGCGTTAGAAGTGCATAATTGCATTAGTGAGGGTAAAGAGTGATTGTCCAATAAACATATTCTTCCAAATCCGAGACCAACACAATTTCTTGTCGCGTTGCCTAGGAAACACACGACAACATATATATTGGAGATTGCCTCTGTGGTCTAGTGGTCAGAGTTTCTGGCTATAAATCCAGAGATCCGGGTTAGATTCCCGGCGCTAAAAATTTTTCTGAGAAGTAGTGAGTCTGAAACGGGGTCCACTCAGCATCGTGACGATAACCGAGGAGCTATTTCAAGGAAATAGCGGCTCCGGTCTATAAAACCGAGATTAAGTGCCGTCGGGGTCCGTTGCGCTGACCATATAACACCCTCTATTCACAAACGTTGGCACTAACTTCGCCGAGAAGCGGTGGTCGCTCGGTCGGTATAGTTCTCTTGCGGACTACAGGCAACATACGTATACATCTGGGCTGAGGTTGTCAGATGGAGATAGTAGGAAGCTTTACAGAAAGAACATTGTTGAAATGCATGCAAAGACCGGAAACTAAGACATAAATGGGCGTGAAAAAGAACTGCATCGAATTAAATGAACAACCAGACACAGAAACCACAATGCCGATGAACGACAGACTAGAAACTTCCAAACAATGAAACCTGCGTGTATAATAGAACCTTCGACAGCACAGGTGGTAAGTTATTACAGAATAATACACGTAATGTGATGGATACCACCGTCAATTGGACGTTTTCTCTTAAAAAGCTGACCGATCTCTTGTTTCCCACACACCTACACTGTAGGGTTCGAGCCGTTAATGGTCTCTGTTTGACACAACTGCGGCTCCTGATTTATCTTGACAAGGGTCACCAAACGCCCAGCGGTCAAAATACACGTTATATTCCTAGACTCATCGTAAGCCCGTCGCCTTCAACCACTCTCTTCATGCTCAGAGCTGCTGTGAACCATCACAATGGTTGTCACATTAACACTGCGGTATCCAAACAAAGAGAAACGTTTCTTCCGCTACCAAAAACGATAGGGACACGCGGTAGCGTAGTTGTTACAAGCCGGAAGGTCGCGGGATCAAGCCCCGATGAAGTCGTTGAATTTTTTTTTTTTTCCAATTTACCTAATCCTTTAGCCGCACTATGGCCTTGGGGTCGACTCAGCCGCTAACAGAAATGAGTACCAGGAATATTCTTGGGGTTAAAGGGCAGCCGGCGCGTAAGGCTGACAACCTTACCGCCATCTGTTTGCTGACTATCTAGAAAATGTGGGAACCTCAACATCTCACAACCCTATGGGCCTCCACGGCCTGTTACAGGGATAGCTTTACTTTACTTTACTTAAACAGACGGTACATGCTTCCAAACTGCGACAAACATTAAAACATTCAGAGGAGAGCTTAATTCCATATTATACTTCTGTCAAGGACAGGAGAATGAACATACTGAAAACTAGAGCAGCACCTGCTGCTTTATACGGGTGTGAAACGTGGTCTTATCCTAAAAGTGAGACATGTACAGCGCAACCTAAATAATCCGAAATAATTAATATGCTGGTGTGTTCGGAGTGTCGAATCGCTCATATTACTGGATATTAATTTAAAAAAATCGATTGTTTCTACAAAATTATTCAAAAGATTTATACGTACAACGTTTTATACTATAGACCAGGCACGTCCAACGCGTCGATCGCCGGACGATTTTTAGTCGATCTCATACGCCTATAAGGAAATTATACGTGAAAAGCTTGTAAATTCACTTGTAATATAATATGATTATATTCAGATTCTGAAGGGAAAATACGTGTTAAAGTAGTCTGTACTTTCAAAGTCTGTTGCTTTTACAACAGGCATCATGTGTCGTGTTATTTTTACCAATATTTTTGCTTAAAGCGAGGTACGACAATAGGAGGGTGTGGTAGATCACAGGCAGTTTTGACACTAAAAAGTCGATCACAACCTCTTTGAAGTTGGACATGCCTGCTATAGACAAAGGTAGTAACCCACGGGCGTTAGACTACACCTCAGGCTTGGGGCCAGAGGTAACAGCGCTACGTCCTTCACCCCCCATCCAGGCAGGTCCACTAACTTTTAACAACTTGCTTCATAAGCATTCACTTGCAATGCAAAGGTAATTACGACGAATTTGTAAACCTTATATTATTTTCTTTTTGCGGGAGGGGCTTCCGTTCGAATTACCGACGTTCTACGAGTAATGTGTTGAGGGGACGGTGTCGAGAAGATAATTTGGATCTAGGAAACAGGAAGTAACAGAAGGCTACAAAAGAACTACGTACTGCTAAGCTTCATTACTTAAATTCCCCATTAAATACAATGCGATCATCTCAGGCTTTCCCGCAAATCGAATAATTTGGACTAGGATGCCGGACAATCTCCAGTCAAGGCGGACTCCGGAGGTTTGGCATCCTAGAACCGACAAACCAACATACAGCCAACAGACCTTACGATTTCCTTTTCATTTCGGTACGATAGGTCATTAAACAGCTGCCATGAAGCGACGTATGCTTTATGTGTCGGGCCGATGCGATCCAGAGCCCCTGCTTCTCTCCTTGACTAGTGAGATTAGGCATTGACTCAGTTGTGTTATTCCTCGTGTCGAAATGACGCGTCTGAGCTGTGCAGTGGAACGGCGAGTGTTCGCGTGCGGTTCTGTAAGTGGAGTAGAGAGGAGATTCCGGCTTTAAACTTCAGGACGTTACAGCTCCACAGACAAATTATTCGTGCAGTCGTGAATAAGTCAAGACAGACAGTATCGCTGCTGGACAAGAAACAACCGAATCGGAACGCCAAATTCTCGCTGAACAGAAACTGCAAGAAATCGTCTCCCTGAGACGCGATTCCTTACACAGTAGACAGGGGTTCATGCTTCAGGCATGCAGTATTTCCGAAGAACTTCAGTACAAAATGCTGAGACGCCACGAATGCGTGCCCAGCATCCGTTACCTGGTAAGTTCTATTTGCAGAGTGCAAACATAAGGGTAAGAAAAGCCGCGCCATAGCTCAAGCGGTTAGTCTCTGGCTTTCCACCGCGGCGGCCCGGGTTCGATCCCGGGTCTGGTCAAGTGGGATTTGTGGTGGACAAAGTGGCGCTGGGGCTGGTTTTCTCCGAGTACTTCGGTTTCCCCTACCAATCTTCATTCCACCAATTTCTCCATCATCATAATCACCCGGGGAAGGTACAATAGGCCAATCAGTGGCCGCCGTGCCGAGTGGACCTAGCTGGACTCCACCCCCCACTAGCGAATTAAAAAAAATGAAGGATAAGGATGTCCCTGTGCTTAATTAAGCACCACGCCACGAACACGTATTGGCAAAGGAGCTATAGCTCCACCATTTTTGACCTCGGCACTAGATGGAGGTAAGCGGTCAGCTTCATACCTCGGGGAAAGAGCCGTCGGTACCCATTCTATAGAGGTGGGCCCCATAGCCGGTCCGGACGCTGTGAAGTATTGAAAATCTCGTACCAATGAGGAGAATCGAAACCCGGCCGTCCAGCCACGTAGCCCATCGCTGTACCGACTGGTTCCCCATTTGCAACGTGTATAGGCACAAGTGTGACGATTCCGCTATCAGCCTGGAACTCTGTGGCGCGGCTTTAGTGAAGGAAAGCGCAGTTCTTTCGCCACAGTAACCTGAGATTTGCCTGAAGTTCCAAGATTATGGCTTTATATTATATGGCAGTGGATGAGAGATAGACAAGGCATGTAACACGCATGGGAGAAATTTATACAAAGATTCAGACGAAAAATCTTAATGGAAGAAGCGACTTGGGAGACCTAGACGTGCAAATACGGACAATATTAAAGCGAATTAGATAAAATTGGGTGTGAGGATGGAAACAGGGCACACTTAGCCTCAGGCAAGGTCCAGTGGCGGTACTTCAAGTTCCCTACAAGACTGAGAATATCGACTATCTGAGCTAAAATTTGTATTTAGCCTTAAGACTAAGATCTGCAGGACAGGAAGTCTGTACAGTTGGAAAGTAGGGTCATGGGTTCTACTCCAGAGCCATGGCTGTTGACTGATCTTTCAATTTCCACCCTAGATAAACTGGAACTTGTAGGAGAATAACCTCTCCGTACTCTTGCTACTGTAGCCTGTGGTTCAGGAAAAGGAAAGTTAAGGAGGCAGCCTTCATGCGCCACGTCACTTACTCCGGAGTTACCATGGTGCTTCTGTTCCACCTTTTCTTCTTGTTCTGTGGTAATATTTATCACTGTCCAACGCCGATCTTTGTTCTTCATCTTTTTCCTTCCCGTGAATAATCAGAGTGTGTGGCAACGACTACTCCAAATTCCCTTTTTACTTTTTACAATGTCCGTGTTTTGTTTTTGTTATTTTTTCCATCTCTTCTTCTGGTCTTGTTTGCTCTTACTTCTACTTAGAATCCTAGTTTTTTTTTAAATAATAAGCTAAAGATGGGGCACGCGGTAGCGTAGTTGGTTGAGGCACTATGCTACAAGCCGGAAGGTCGCGGGTTCAAGTCCCGATTAGGTCATTTTGTTCAATTTACCTAATCCTTCCAGCCGCACTATGGCCCTGGGATCGACTCAGCCTCTAAAAGAAATGAGTACCAGGAATATTCCTGGAATGTTCTTGGAGGTAAAGGGCTGACAACCTTGCCGCCATCTGTGAGCCGATTGTGTAGATAATGTGAGACCCTCAACATCTCACAACCCTATGGACCTCCACGGCCTATTAGAGGGATACCTTTACTTACTTTACTTTTTATAACGTAAAGATAAATATCTGTATGTAGAGGACTTTGGCGTCCATATAATTATAACTTTTCTTGTGTTAAATGCATATGCATTTTCATTTGGTCCACGCCATGACGTACATACCAATACATTTTATACAAACGCCTTTACAGCAAGCGGCACAATCACAGAATCTAAAAGAGACAAATGGAAGTGATCTAGCCTAATAAGTATACCAACTGAATCCTCAGTGCCCCTTATTATCATGTATACGCGTTCGTCTCTAAACGCAACAGTATGTGCTCAACAATGAGACTTTAACATTTTCTTCAGAGTGCACAAATACCGAAACAGCATATGATATAAGGTTACCGACTCAAGGAAACAAAGAACCGGATCAGAGGAACGCGATAGCACGCATTCTTGTCGAAGTTTTGTTAGCGTAGTGATCTGCTAGCCATACCAGTAATTCTAAATACGACTCCTGTCCGTCAAGACGCCACTGCGCAGATGACGTATCAGGACTCAGATGAATGTTAAGCAAAGACAGTGGCTCACTGCCATAAATGTATTGGTCGCGATACGCCATTTTGGGGCCATTAATCAGAGGGTCGATAATTATGAACATCAATATTATCTGCGTAAGATTTGAGGCTTTCACGGCGGTGACTATGAAGAAAGCAGTCTTCTGGGATTTGGCCCCGTGTATATGTGGTGTTAACCGACGTTTCGGAGGAATGTATCGCCTCCATCTTCAGGGTAGAAGGAAAAATATAAGAAATCCGCTGTCTATCTATCTATTTATGACTCTGCAGTCCTTTTTTTGGACCTTGGCCGCCTCTTCAGTTTTTTAATCTTATACACGGTTGTTAGGACTCTTTTGACAGGGGATCAGCCCGTCGCAAGGCCGCTACGTACACACAGAACAACACAGACATCCATGCCTCGAATGGAATTGGAACCCACGATCACAGTGTTTGGGCGGGCGAAGACAGTTCATGCCTTAGACCGTGCGGCCAGTGTGATCGGTCCATATTATGTATCGTAAGGCTATTTGCCGAAAGAATCAAATTGGAAAACATAAGATGACGCCCACTGGGCACTATTACGAGATAGCTAATTATGTTTTGTCATCCATTTTCTCTTATGTTACGCGCCTTGCCTAAACAACTGGAACTCTCTGACATCCCTGGTTTGCAGAATAAATCTTTTGTTTTCTACCGTTTTTGTGAAAGAGCACCTTGTATCACTAATTCATGAACGGTTTCCCAAGAGATTCGAACGTCTGAAGGCATGGATATAAAGTCCTCAAGCTATCAACAAGTGTTCCAGATGCTTTTCTCTTTCAGTGTCTATAATAATTATTATAGAGTGCTGTTTACAGAGTTATTCAAATGAGCTTACTGAATCCTATGTAAAAGTAAAGTAAAGCTATCCCTGTAACAGGCCGTGAAGGCCCATAGGGTTGTGAGACGTTGAGGGTCCCACATTATCTAGGCAATCGGCTCACAGATGGCGGTAAAGTTGTCAGCCTTACGCGCCGGCCGCGCTTTACTCCCCAGGAAAATTATTTAATTAATTCCTGGTCCTCATTTCTATTAGAGGCTGAGTCGACCCCAGGGCCATAATGCGGCTGGAAGGATTAGGTCAACTGAAAAAAAAATCCAATGACCTCATCGGGACTTGAACCCACGACCTTCAATACACATGAATTTTCAAAGTATGTGAATTTGTTAGTGTGACTCGGTTAGTGTCCTGTTAGGAGAATAGTCTCTAAAGTAATCGTTCCTGCCTTCAAAGATATCTCGCCAGAGTAAAATCGCATAGATACAGGGTGTTTGAGAACAGTGCGCTGAGAGGGAGAAAGCGACGAAATAACAGGCGACTGGGGGAGCTTCATAGTTTGTGTTCTTCGCCACATAAACTCAAGATGGCGGGACACCACGCATGGGAGACAGGCACATTAACGCACAAAGGGAAGTAATCTCCAGACGAATAGTAATTGTCTCTAACCTGATATGATATGAATTACTTGTGTGTATATTCCCTCTCTTTGTCAGTGTGGAGCGAATAACATTTCACAATGGACACAGAGCTTCAATCAAGGTTTAGATGACGTTCCATGTGCCGTTATAGCTGTCCTTGATTTACGACAACAGCCGTCTCAGCAAGAAGCCTTCCACATGACTGTGCCCTGGGAAAGTTAGGAAAGAAGATAGCGCCCTACTGTACACCTCATCAAGTGACTGATGATGCAGTCAGGTTCCTGAGAGGAATAAGCATCTCACACTACAGCTCTGCCTGCCTTACTAACAGACATTCACAATTCGTAACGGTTTTATAGCCTCATGTGGAATGCAGAACACAAGGATACACTGTTTTTAACACGAATACTTGAACGTAGGAGTCAGATAAAATGGGATTTCTTTTCCTAATCTCTGTTGTCATTTTACTTAGTTTGATCATGGATATACATCCCTTATACCCCACGAAACTACCGTATTTACGCATGTATAGGCCGCGGCACAATTTTCAGACAGAAATTATAGAAAAAATAATTTTCTTGGGATATTATTTCAGGAGTATTACACCTTGTGTTACTAATTATGAATATAATTTTATTTTTAAATGAAGTGTGATTTCGAATATTTCGAATATAAGCCGCACCCCAGTTTTCCTCTTGAATTTTTGGCAAAAAATGTGCGGCCTATACATGCGTAAATACGGTAAATACATTTATAACCTGAAAAATAATCAAAACGGGAGACATATTCAGATAGGTAGGTAGGCAGGTGGATGGATAGAATTTTAAACATGTTCTCATTGCTCTGAACAAGCTATTTAACAGCATCTCGCATTGATAGTTCGAAAAATTCCCTGTCCCTCGTGGATAGGCTGTGCTCTTTTGTTTTAAAACTGAACGGATCTGTACAGAAAGTATGGCTTTGTGGCACCATGCAAGGTACGGTAGGCCGGTGCAGGGCGTTATAAAGAACTTAGTGATCTGCTACGTACAAACGCCCAAGGAGCGCAGCATGACAGAAATGGTTGTCAGTGTCAGGCTGCGGCCACACGAGCGCACAAAACGCGTCCGTTGTAACGAAGGTACTTTATGACGGACGTTGCTGAGGACATCACACAGTTGCAGAATGCGGTGCGTAGTTTTTTTGTCTGCAATGGATCCAGAAGAAAGCGTAGCATTCGCCTCTCTTGTTTATTTCTATAACGGACGTCACGACGTTCGTT